GGCCGACTCGAGTTTGATTCCTCCGCACCTCATGGAGAGCCCCCAAACTACCAAGAGTATCTCCCCTGCAGAGAAGAGCCTGGCAAGCTACCCGTGACATATTCAATATGCCAAACACAGTAACAAAAAGTCTCACAATGGAGACGTTACTGGGCCCGCTCAAGCAAATCGATGAACAACGGGAGGACAGTGCTACAGTGCTATGGTGCATATGGTGCTGAGCACATGTGTCCCGCATCTCCCCTCCTGAGATGTGGACTTTCATACCTTCATAATTTAACATTGGTACGTGTACCGGGTCTATCTCTCCACTCCAGAGAAGCCCATGTTCTTTCTTGGGCACATTTCTCATTTTCTCCCCCATACCCTCTTAGAACTACCAAATAATCCTGTTTTTACTACACACACACTCATACACACACACACACACACACACACACAAAGAATGAAGGAAAATCTATAAATTACTTAGGTTCAACCATGGCAAATAGTTGATGTCTGATAGGTTTACCTAGAAGAATGGCAACTTCACATAATTCAAACTAGAGTACTTTTGAACTCTGTTCATTATTACAGGGCAGACTTGCTCAGCACTAAGCACACTATGAATATTTATTACAAAGTCTACAATAGGACATTGAAATCTTGATTATGAAGGGCCAGTCAGGGTGATTTATCAGAGTAATTATGTACATTTGGCACTAGATGGCAGTTCTATATAAATTTCCTTTTGGGTGGGGCCAGGCGTAGTAGGTTAAGGCCACACTCAGCAGTGCTACTCCCAACTCAGTGCCTGGGCATGGCCCCTGGTGATATTTACAGGTTTTACCCTTGCTTCCCACATGCAAAGTATGTGCTCCAGCCCTTTGTATCATCTCCTTTGCTCTGTAAGTTTTCTAAGAACTGATAACATTATTTAATGTCATCATCATTTGTGGATGTTTTATGTCTCTGTGTGTGTAAGTGTGTGTGTGTGTGCGTGTGTGTAAGAGAGAGAGAGAGAGAGAGAGAGAGAGAGAGGACAAAGGTGAGATAGATTGAGAGAGAAGAGAAAAAGAGACCTATATATTCAAAATCAGTTCAGCCTGCAGGGGCAGGTAGCTTGAGGGTTTTAGTCGGTTAGCTAGATAGCTTAATATAATTGTCCCCATTTCTATACCCAGCACAGTGTTCTGAACCAGATGAAAAGTCAATCTAGAGAAGCAGCTGGTCCTGCACCTTTTCAGGACTTTCTTTCAATCAAGTGCAACTTTGTTTCCTTTCTCTAAGCCACTAGAAGGTCCATGGGCAAGTGGCAGTGCAGGGCTGCTCTGAAGCCCTGCAGCCTCCTCTATTCAAGGGCAGCTTCCTCAGGATACAGATTGCCCTACCATCCTGTGTTTGAACTCTTTTGTTGTTTCCTAGAAATGACACTAGAGAAAAAGTCTAGCAGGAAGTGAAAGTTGGCAGAGCTAATTCAAGGTTTTGTGGAGAGGAAGTTGAGGTCAAAAATCATTGGGTTTCAAATAGTTGTGCTCTAGCCACTCTGATTACACACAAGAAAGGGACTGGGGGCAACCAGTGCTAAAGAGAAGGAAATGTCCTCTCTGTCTTCATTGCCTTTTCGTCTATGTGGAGGGTCACACACTGACTGGTTGGGGCACACAGCTCAGAGGGGGTGAGCAGAACATTAAAAACAGCTAAAAGCAGACATGATGGGAACTGTGGATGGAGATATATTCAAGCTCCCACAAAGACAGGCCTGTGCCTGGCATCTTACCACATTGGTAGGAAGGGGCTCCGATGGATGAACCCACCTACTGGCCCATGGTTTGTGAGAACAACCTGGTCCTCCTCGTGGCCACTTTCCATAGAAAAGAGCTCCATATTCTGATTTTTTCTTTGCAAGCAGAAAAACTAGGTGGCTTCTGGAAGGACTAAAACACAGTCCAGACAACCAGAACGCCGATGCTCTGGTTGCAAACATGGAGATTGCTGAATAAGGGCATAGTTTTACACCATTCATAAACATAGGGTTTATTACTATTGTAGAAATATTTGTCAAGTTCTTCTCTGAAATATTTTACTCATTTTTTGCTTAAATCAACAAGTACCAAAGATCAATTTTTATGCTAGATATATTAGTTTCTCCAACCGCTTTAGAGGTACATTTTGTCAGTTTCATTGTTCATTGTTTTGTTTGTCTGTTTTGTGCTATGCCTGGCGGTGCTCAGGCTTACTCCCGGCTCTGTGCCCAAAGGTCATTCCTGGCAGTTGAACATTTGGGAACTTGACCAGGATGGGCCGCATGCAAGACAAGTGCCTTAATTCCTGTACTACCAATCTGGTCCCATGTCAGATTCATTTTAAGTGGGTTTGAGCCCTTTCTTGTATTTATCATCTATTTTTAAGGGAATGGTGCAGTGTGAGGGCTGGCGAGGAACAGTTAAGAGAGTGGGCCAAAGAAACTAACTGCCGCTTTGGCTCTGCTGGTGTGTGATCTGGGCACATTGTTCAACCTCCTGTGTTTGGGAATCTCTTAACTGTCCTGCTGTAGGTGACGGGGTTTGGCTCCTACAGTTGACACCTACCAGATTTGCTTGAACCAACCACAGCTCAACTGCTCTAAAAGGAAAATGGCACTGAGTTACTAATGTTTTCATGAAGAAAGATTTACATTGAAGAATCAAGTAAATTTGTAAACCACTTGCTTTCCACATAGAGGCCCTGGGGAATAACGTTATTTTTCATGGGATGCTAAGATTGTTGCCTGTCACCAAGCAGATTTGTATTTTATAAGCATCTATAGAATTCTAGGTTTCTTCTTCAATTTTTTCTTTTTCTTTCTTTATTATTGCTTATTTTTGTTTGGGGGGCCACACCTGCAATGCTTAGGGGTCACTCCTGATTCTACAATCAAAACGCATTCCCAGCTGTATTTCAGGGATAAGATGAATTGCTGGGGATTGAACCACGCATGTCAGCCACATGCAAGGCAAGTACCTTACCTGTCACCTCACCTTACTATATCTCTGGCTGCAGCATCTATGGGTTTCTTATGTGCAGTATTTCTTCGAACTGCAGTGTAATCCAGAATCAACAAGGGATGCTTCCCACTTTTATTTGCCCAGAAAGAACCCTTTCAGTGCTGATTATCTCTTAGGACTGGTGCTCAAAGAACACGTCCAGGGAAAAAGGATTACCAAAATAAATGAAAACACAGGACAGGTTTCCATGTTTCAGGGCTGGCTTTGTAACTTACAGCACAAATCCTTCTGTATATTTGCCTTGTCCATTTTACTGCCTTCTTCTGCCTTCTTCTGCCTGTAATTTTGCCTGTACTTCCAGCTTATAAGACCTCAGCTTTCAGATATAGAAAATGCCTAGGAAAACAATATTGTGGCATCTATTCTACTCAAGTAAAAGCCACCAGCAAATACCTTCATATTCACAGATTCATAGAATTTGAGCACCCAGTTCAGAGAGAAGGAATGATGTGGACATCTATTTATTATGTCATCACCCAGGGATGACCATGCAGTCTAGAGTTCTCTCACTTGCTGACTGGTGGGTGCTGTCATGTACCCAATTCCCACTTCCAGGACTGAAGGGTCCATCTCCTAACACTGGGAGATTTCTTTGCTGGAGAAAGCTGCTTTGCCCAAAGTCATCCCCATTCTCTGCACGACCCACCTCCAATGTCCAGGAATGTGGAGCTATAGAAGCTCAGATCTAAATTAGGACAACTTTGAAGAAACAGTCCAATTTCTTAACCCCACAAGTTGGTGGAGCACTTCACAGAGACAGTGTCCCCATCTTCCTTCTTTCATGGGGGTCCCAACTATGAACCTGAATATGCTTCCACAATTTGGTTGTTCTTTGCTCATAGGAAATCTTACCCACAAACCTCTGGCAGGAAGTGTGAAGTCTCAGACTCCAAACTCGAAGTGAAAAGTCAGTTCCTATTCTAGGTCAATTTCTTTGCCATCTCAAGCTGCCATTCTGCCTAATAGTGGTACCTAAGTCCGTGTCAATTATCAACTCAGGATCAACCAGTCCATCCTGAGGTTCACTCTCCTCTTTGTGGAGTTACAATCCCATTCTGTGGGACCTCCAGAATTGTTATCTCTCTCTACCAGCATCCACTGAGACATCATATACCCTCCCTGGTTTGGGGGCCTGGACTCATTGAAAATTGTCAGTTTTATGATCAGAAGCTAGGTCTCTCCCAGTCACGCCTTGCCACTTGAGCTACATGAGAAATGCCACCCACAGGCCTTTCACTTATTCTAGGCCCCCTAAAAAAATCAGGGTGCTTTACTTGCTATAGCAGAAACCCACATTTTGGTGGGGAAAAAAGAAGACACTTGTGTTACAGTTCCACAGACTGGAACTGAAAGTTTCATTCAGAATCCATAATCTGGACTTGTGCAAGATCTCTACCTTCAAGAAAATAATGTTTTTAGTTCTGAGGTGGGAAAAGGGCCACCATCTATGTACTCCTGCAGAAGTCAAGTTTTAAATTGGTTTCTTGCAATCTCTCACATTCCTTGAGCACAGATGGCTTGAACACATCCTACTTGCTGGGCCTTTGTCAAAAAGCAGGAGACACTGAAGAAAACAAACAGAGAATTGGCCCCTCTTCCTCATGAAATTGAGACTTTCCCTCCAAAGAATTCTTGGAAGTGTTTGTTTCTAACAGAGCCAGAACACCGGAAGCTGCTCCAGCACTTGAGGGCACCAGAGAACTGACATCTGCCCCTGCTCCTGCCATGGCCCTGTAAGGTCTAACCCAGTGTCCTGCTCCCAAAGGGACAGTAATACCACCATACCCAGTGCTTTGGCAAAGGCCTGGCTGTCAGTGCTCAGCAAGACAGACTCTCTTTAAGAATTGGCAATAGACAGGCCACATCTGGCTGACAGACACGTTTTGACTAATCTGCACATTGTTTTTTGTAGTATTTTAACCTTGGATATTTTACTAACAAATGATTTCAAATTACTTTTTATAGAATAAAATTAAGCTCCTTGTACTTAACATAGGCTGTGTTCTTTGCACCAATTGTATAGAAAGAAAAATTACAGTATACCCGGCCCTTATACATCTCAGCCAGATCCCTTCCCGGTCTGTATTGGGAATGGGGGAAACACAGAGTTAAGGAAGATAAAGAAAAGACACGGTTGCTATGAATAGTTTTAAGCTTTATTCATGGGTTAAGTTTTAGTTTCCTGGAAAAAAAATCACTAAGTCATCTGAAGCTAATAGAGACAGCCCCGTCTCCAATAACCACCACCCTTTCACCACATCTAGTTTAAAGAGGTTTTGGGGGTTTGCTGGTTCATTTTCTTTGTAACTATTCACATTACACCCATGAGCAAAATCATCTTTCACTTCTTCTCATATTTAACTTAATATAATCACCTCATATTCTATCATTTTTCCCCAAAATGGCACAACTTCAGCTGTGTTAATGACAGAATCGTCTTCTACCCAGGATATAGACATCTTCTGCAGTGCAATATCCTGGTGGCAAAGCACAGAGGTCAGTCCTTAAGTCTTCCTACCACACCAATTATTACCTGTCTCTAGAATCCTTGGTGATCCCTCTTCACCTATTTATTCCCAACCAACTCTCTTTAATTTTTTAGAGAATGCAGAAGTAGCTGTTAATTCATATTCTTGGAGAAGCATACGACCAGCACAAGAACATACATTTTCCTTACATTTTCTGGCTGTGTGTCTAGAGTGTGAGAGTTCTGAGATTGTTCTTATAAATGTGTAGGTCAGGTCGATAGGAAGTGCAGTCTAGAGACCAGGAGTAGGAGCACTGGACACATTCCTCCAAGCCACAAAACACTGGATAATTCACTTCACCTCTCACCATGTGAGTTTACAATTCAATTAGAAAAATTATAGTCACTATAACACATTAATCCCTTCATCTTAGTGTCTTAATGCAACCAACTATCAGAAACAGAGAGATAGTATATTGGTAAGGCGCTTGCCTCGCATGTGGCCCACCCAGTTTGATTTCGGCACCCCATATGGTATCCTGAGCATGACCAGATGTGATTCCTGAGTACAGAGCCAGGAGTAAGCCGTGAGCCCATGTATGCTCCAAACACCTCCCCCTCAAAAAGTATCATTTCATGTGCATCTTTGTTCAGTGGAGAAGTTGCTGTTTCGATAACTATCCACACAATAATTGAGAAACTAAAGCGTTTAGGCTCCATTGCTTTGTGCTTCTCTCAGTCACGTTTTGAAAAACATCTTCCTTTAAATCCTGCAACATAGTTGTGATGTGGAAGGATCTCAAAGTATGATCTTGAAGTCCCCACCCTCCCTGAGAACACTTCAGTATATTTGTACCAAGGCACCTCAGCCCCTTTCTCCAACTTTATATCTGTGGAAAGTCTGGAGCTTTTACTATATCGTAAACCAGAATATCACAACAGATAAACTTCAAAATTACATTTAAAACTCTAAAAAGTAGGAGGCCAGGCTCAATACTGAGTATTGCCTGACCACCACTGGGAGAAACCCCCTCAAGTCCCATGTAGTCACCCCCCCCACCATCAGCACTGCCATGTGTAGCTCAAAAATTTTTTAATTAAAAAATTAAGGAATATAACTGTATTCTGTTAAGTTTTACATTAGAAATTATAAATTAATGTCACTTTTCTCCCTATGGGCTGGAGCAATAGTATAGTGGTAGGGTGTTTGCCTTGTGCGCAGCCAGTCTGGCCGAGCCGGGTTCAATTCCTCCGCCCCTCTCAGAGAGCCTGGCAAGCTACTGAGAGTATCTAGCCAGCATGGCAAAGCCTGGCAAGCTACCGGTGACGTATTCAATATGCCAAACACAGTAACAACAAGTCTCAAAAAAACTGGAGACGTTACTGGGCCCGCTCGAGCAAATTGATGAGCAACGGGAGGACAGTGAGAGACAGTGTTTTTTCTCCCTATGATTTTTTTGTTAGGGTTGATATGGTTCATGAAAACATTATATTATTACATAATGTTTCTGTAGTTTGCATTTCCATTTTTCAATGAATGAGGTTGTGTCATTTTTATGTAAGTATCAATATATATTACCAGTAGAAATAAAAGTTTTGGGGGGAGATACTGAATTAATGTTGAGTACATAGGAATTCTTAGGTCAGACTTTGGCTTTGGTCTGGATTCTTTCCCTTTAAGCTGACAGGAGTCTTAGGGAATACATCAAGGAATTTCGGTAGGCCAGTTCTGGAAGTAGCACAGTATCTGCTCTTCGAATTCATTATCTGGGCTCAGACTCAGCCACACCAAAGAAGGAGGAAGCCAGGATCAGGCTGAGGAGAAAGTAGAAACAGGTTTGGGCTCCATCTCTCTCTTTACCATATTTTACTACTCTCAAGGGTTTACTGAATCTTGTTCTACATTTGTGTCATTAGTATCTTGTTTAGTGTCTTCCAAGAGCAATAATATTTGCCTAAAACTACTCAAACAACTTTGAGAAACATGAGTAACATGGGCCTGCGTTTTGCCTTCAGAGTTTAGAAGTTGGCGGAGCCTTATCTAAAATAGCTGTGCATTTAGCCAAAGAAGTAAAAGAAAAGATCTCCTTTTCTTTAGAATCAAACCCAATCTGATGATTAAACAAGAAGAGTTAAATGTTCTATAAACATTTCTGATCTCCTTTGAAACCAAGGGTGAGCTAAGTTGACTGGTACTTTCTGTTTAGTTTACTTTTCCCCCTTTGATGTCTTATGCCACTTACACAAAATCTACCTAATTAATGAAGAAGTTAAAGAGCTTCAGCAACCCCATCATGGGTCAGTTATTATACACTTTTTAGAGAAAAGGCCAAGGCAGGAGTTTCAGAATGAGTTTGCGTCAATGATGTCAGCATAAACCCAAGCTCTTCTCATGCCTCCTCTGCTCACCTTGTCTCATGCATGACCTTTTCTCTCAACTTTATAAGGAACAACTCTCAATTGCATAAGATCGCTGTTCTATCTCAGGCATCACCTGAAACTGTCCAAAACAGAAGATAAGAAAAGTGATAGTGAGCAAAGGGATTTCGCATTGCCTCCCTACTCGGCCTCACCCTGGAAACTTCCCTTCACCTCTCATTGACCAGCGCTGGTTGTGAGCCTTCCTAGGTCATTCATTAACAAAAGAGAACCAGGAGCCGTAACCGGCTTGGGCCCTTCTTGGAGTCTCTATGTTTGACCATTGATAGTCAAACCATACCTGCATCCTACTGGATATTGGGAAGAAGGGGAACATCCCTGTGGAGGAGGGAACAATGGGAGCTACCCGCAAGGACACAGTGAATAAGCGCCTAGTGTGGGGAGCAAGTGTTACAATTCATCCAATCACACATGTCCAACAAAAACCCTTACAACTGGGATTTTATCTATTCCTTTATAGTGCCTAGTGTGGGGAGCAAGAGTTCCAATTCATCCAATCACACGTGTCCAACTAAAATCCTTACAACTGGGATTTTATTTATTCCTTTAATTATCCCTCTCCTTCCATTGCTGTAAAAACACTTTCATATCCCCTGTCCCTTATAGCCATTTGTAGGTAATAAAACCCTCTAATCTAAATCTCAAAACATGATGTTGTTTTAATCACCAGAATGCCTATTCCTGAATTCTCTAATACCCAGACTAGGTACAGAGGAAGCTCTACTGCAGAGCCTTGGCTGACAGAGAGGATGCATGCTGCATGGAAATGACCCTCTCCCCAGCTCACTTTCCATGGGGTATGGCCACAGAGACCCCAGTGAGCTCTTATTTGACTGTACTGTCAAAGGAGGCTTCACCCTTATTGGGCCTGGTAGGCACATTTGTGGTCTTAGGGGATTGTTCCACTGAACTTCAATGCCCACCTCCTACTGAACTTCTTGCAACATAGGTAATGTATGTCACCTTCGAAATGTCACTTCACCCTCCAACTGGAGTTGGGGAGGGGGCAGTGGAATGGTATTTTCTTGAGTGTGTATTTAGGCCAACATTCATGAACTGGGACCATCAGCTCTTGGTGGCCCTCAGGGAGTAGTGCCAAGGGTTCACCTTTGCAGCATGCAGGTGCCTCCCAAAGCTAATTCCTCCTTAAACCCTGTCTTTGTCTTTGTTGTTGTTCCTTTACGAATAATTTTCTTTTCAAGTTTATCATCATCCCGATGCTCCTCGTGTTCTGAGTTTGAACATCTACTTGTGGATGTGATCCAGAGGCAGGTGAAAATGCTCTTTCTTCCCAAAGACAGCCCTCCAATCTCATCCTTATTATCTTGCAGGCCTACAACTGTAAGATCATATTGATTGAGGTACACCAGCCCCTCTTTCCTGAGGGAGTCGGGAGTTTGGGACTCAAAGAGTTGTCTAGAAGCACCTCCTCATGAGTCCTTTACAAGTATTTAACAACTTTCTGTTGTCTTATCCTGCTGTGTGCATGACAGAGACACATCAACTGAAAAAGACAGAGACAGAGATGATCATGTCTAAGAGTTGTCACCTGATTTTCACTGAAAACTTTGACTCTTCAGGTGTGATGCCTTTCTTTGAAATTTCTTTGAAATTCTGTGTCTCCTCTTAAGAAGAGACATTCAGTGATAACATCCTAAGATTCAATATAGTGATGTTCAAAACATGTATTGTAGTTTTACAGGGCTACAAGCTCTCAGTAACCCCTAACTAATTACACATTCTCTCAGTAACCCTCTCAGCAACCTCTAAGTAGCTAATATATTTGCTAGTCTACTGTTGCTTGCTATTCTCTTCCTGTTTTCCACCTCAACCTCTGACTACTACTCCTTGACCCCATAAATAAATATATTGCCATTTGTCTGCTGATCAGGGCAACCAAGAATAAAGTGAAATTTTTCAAATCTAGTCAAGTTAAAGATCTTAACTACATTGTATGATATAAATCTATAGTTTATTTACCCAGTATGTCAGAACTACAATATATCAAATTTCTTGGAGACACCACCTCCTATTTTCCCTTGTGTTCTAGATAGATGAAAATGGGTTGAACTCTGACCACCAAGGAACTAACTGACAGGCATTATTACAACATAGAACCCTATGCCACATGTCAAAGGAATAAACATTAGTTATAAATGCATATGAAAATATGACAGATTTCACTGTACTTCTCAATAAT